AAAAAAAAAAAAAAAAAAAAAAAAAGTATGGATACTAGAGTTAGGGTACCTGGATTCAGTTTCTTAGAGAGGTCAAATCCTCTCTGAGCAGGTGACTTCTGATTGGAACCTGGATTGCTGGAGGAGCTGGTCATGCCAAGTTTAAGGAGAAGAGCATCCCAGACAAAGTAGGACCTGCAAGGGCTGCTACTAATCTGTGCCCCAGTGAAATACACATAGTCCAGGGCTACCAGGATTTCAACTCACATCATGAATTCCTTAATTACACTTTCGTGGTGCTAATTTGGCAGCATCATTGAAGGCTATATATATGCTCTCAGTTGACAGGAGTTTTGCAGTATCATCATCTGGTCATGTTCACCTGTGTTATGTTTCCTCTTGTCTTCTTGTTTGCCAATCTCTGTGCACACTGCTCCTTTCTGGACACTTTCCAGCTTTTCTCTGTCTGAGTACATCCGCAGGTAATGAAGCAGCCAACCAGAGTGCTGTTTTCCAACCATGGTGTCTGAGGACATTTTTTTTTTCATTTAAAAAAATGACTCCCCCCAAACAACAGCATAATACTGTGCTGCAAACCAATATCTAATTTTCTGTCTGCTATCACTTCTGGGCTTCTCTCCGTCATTGCAGCTTTCAGAGCTTCTCAGTCATGAAATAGCTGCATTTTATATTCTGTATTTCTGAATGAAGCAATGCTTTGAATTTTTCCAAGCTTCCCCATGCTTTATAAGCATGTGGCCTTGCACGGCTCTACTTTCTCTCAGTCCTTGTGAAATACTCCCTTGTATTGCTAGTATTGAGCAGCCTTGTTTGGCCTGTGTGCTTTACCCAGTGCCTCTGCCCCCTGCATTATTGGCTGTTTCTTTGTTCTGTTGATAAAAGACAATTAAAGGGACAGTAAAAGAAGAAGTTGGTGATCCCAGAGGGGCATATCCATGATACACATATAATGAAGAAAATACTAAATGAAGCCCAGGCATTTGAGAGGCTGCAAGCCTATATTCAGGTTCAGAAGCAATTCCTCTGCAGGTCAGTGAAGACCTCAAAATGTTAAATTAAGAAAATTTATGAGAAGCTCCCGAGCTCCAATTACTGTTGGGAATGGAAGCTGGATGTAATTGGAGGCAGAATCTGCCTTTTATAGTAAGGTTTGTGCCGCTTGTGTTATATACGCTATCGGTATTATATGAAACACAAGCCCAGGAGTGTCGGCTGAGTAAATTGGCCATAATAAACCAAGGCTGCCACATGGAGGAGTGTGCAGAAAGTGTGGGCAACAACGTCAAGGGTTGACTCCCTCACTTCACTACTCCCCTTTTGCTTTTAGTTTTTTAAGTAACGTGTTCTCCCAGAGGAGATGTTACCAAGTTTATGTGCAGAGTCTGATATTTGCTATTCTCCATTTTTTTGGGGAAAATGTTCCTTTCAGGTGCAAGATATGCTGCTTTGGCTCAGAAACCAAATGGTCCATTACTGTCTCCTGGCAGAATCACAGCCATTGCTGAGTAACCTGCTTACCTGGACAGACTGCTATGAGACAGAAACCCTAGAAGTTGTGCTGGAGTTTGAGCTGCCCATCATCCCTCCTCCCTCTTTTCCTAGGGAAGGCGTGGGAAACGCTGATTGGCTAACTGGGAACCTTGATGTTGTCTCAGTCTCTTTGCAAATACTGCTGCTGCTAGTGATTATGACTGTGATAGTGATGACAAAAATAGCGAAACAGTAGCCGTAGAAGAAAAGGAGGAGGAAGGAGAGGAGGAAGAGGACAAGATATTGCTTTATATTAAACTCTTACATGGCCCAAGGCTAACTTAGGGATTTATGGCTATTCAATTCTGATGTTCTAAAACAGCTTTTGAGGTAGGCTGTATTATTATCCTCATTTTGTAGATGAAGAAACCAAGACACAAAGATATTTAGTAATTTGTCTAATTTTACAGAGCCAGGCTTCGAATCTGGTGGTCTCACAGGAGAGTCTGTGCTTTAGCTGACTGCACTAGGAATTTTTCAAGTTGAGCACATGTCAGCGTCATCTGCAGGGCTCCTGCAAACAATCTTACTGGGCTCCGTCCTCAGAGTTTGTGCCTCAAGTTCTGGGGGGGCACATGAGAACTTGTAGGTCTAACAAGTTCCTTAGTGATGTTGCTGCTGTTGGGCTGGAAATCACACTTTGAAACCACCATCCTATGCTACTTTTGTAAATGCTTATGATGTAATTACAAGCCTACTGGGAATGAAATTGAGAAAATCCTGTCCTTCCTACAGCTGTTGCTCATCCTGTTGTTCCTTGTCTTTCTCTTGAGGCCACTGTGCACAGCACCTCTCTGTCGATGAGCCCAACTCTTTGCTCCCTGCCTCATAATTCTTGCAGAGATCCTCTAAACTCCCCCTGAACATCCAAAGGCTACGATTGTTCATAGCACAGTGAGGATGCTGTGTGCTGTGATGAAATTTTGTTGGCAGTTTGTGTGAAGAAGGAGAAAAGATGATAACTTGAGTGTAAAGTTAAAAGCAAAAAGAAACCCTACAGGAATTCCCGGAAATTGTATGAGGTAGTTATGCATTTGCAGAAATAGGTGATCACAGAAGGAATAATCATATATGAAACAGCCAGGTAAAGGGACCACTTTTTAGAGCTACAACAGCTCAAGAGACCTAAAAAGTTGCTAAATTGATGGTTTTCAAACTTGAGTGTGCATCAGAATCATTAAGAAGTTAAAAGAGATTGTTACCCACTTGGTCAGTCAGGGAGAGCACAGGAGCCTGCATTTCTCATAAGAACTTAGGTAACACTAATGCTACTGGTGGGGGTACCTCACCTTCAGAGCCAGTAGTGTAAGAAGTCACATAATCTTTTAAAAGTCAAAATAGCGACCATTTCCCAGAGAGAGGTGCTGCAGGTCAAGCCTCAATTTCATTTCATCCGGATCCTCTTTGCCCATGAGGAGTAGTCTCCACAGCTGGAATGTTACCAACTTAGAACTTAGAATTACCAGCTTAGAATTCAGCTAGTTACCCTGGAGGTCAGGTCAGACTGAGATCATTTATTTACTCAGTAAATGTTTTCTGAGGCTTGCTTTGTTAAGGTGTTGGGGCTAAGGTTATATAGATGGTTCAGAGATGAAAGTGATAGAGGAAGCACCTGTCCTCTTCAGGAAGTTTAGTGTTTTATAGGGAAAAACATATTAGGATAATGACACTGAACGGGTTGTAAGTGTAGAACTGGCAAAACTGTGCCTAGAGGAAGGAGAGTCCTGCTTAGTCGTGGATGAATGAAGAGGCATCCACAAGAAAGTCCTGTTTCAGTGAGGCCAGGAGAATGCCTTTTGGAGTGTACACTGTTCAGGAGAGCAGAAGGAAGTGGTCCTTTGGCATAGGTGGAGAGGGAGGCAGTGTAGGACTACTGGAACAACTAAGATAGTATGGAAGTTGAAGCAGAATGAGTGAAAGTGAATCAGAAGGTCCCAAACCAGGAACATTTCTAAATTGCAGTTATACCATTTCTGCCCTGGGCCTTATAATTACCCACCTATGTTCAAAGACTCCTGAAAGGAGAAGTGGGAGAAGGTCTGCCCCAGGCTGGGGTCAGAGTGTGATTCTTCTGGCGTGAGACCTGAATGATCAAAATGATACTGTGAAGGGCTGTAGATAAGGAGGGCTTTAGGAAGAGAGAAATAAACAAATGCAAAGGCATTCAGGTGTGGGGCGATCAGAATGGAGCAAGCTCAAGAAACAAAGAACTTGGTGTGGCAGAAGCTTGATGGGTAAAGGGGGAGGACGTGAAATGAAATTGGGGGCAGAGGTGGGCAGAGGCCGTGAAGAGCTTCCCGAGTCATGATTAGGAATCAAGTTTTATTTCCATCACATTTCTATGCAGGCACAAAAACGGTGAAGAGGGAGAGAAAAGGAAGGCCGGATTACCATGAGTTTTCTAGGCCTCGAAAGTAATTGACAGTGTGAAATAGAAAGAAAATGGCTAAAGGGGGAAGTGGTAAGGGGAGGAGAAAGGAAATAAGGGAAAAGAAAAGGTGAAAAACTGGAAAAAATGGAAATGAAGTCTTTGTGAATAGGAAAGGGTGAAGGGGGTGAAGGGAGGGCAGGGGAATGGGGAAAAATAAGAATCAAGATACATCATGTAAAGGTACAAGACCTCAATGACAAATGTAACTGTATTGTTTGCTTTGAATATACCAATAAACTAAATGGGGGAAAAAGAAAATAATTGTGGATTTTATTTCTACTAAATTTGAAACAGAAGAGCGTCCTGGTATGACATATGTCTTGTATTTTTTAATTGAGAAAATTTTAAATTGCATTAAGATACATATGACAATCAGGAGCAAGACAAGGATGCCCACTATCACCACTTCTCTTCAATATAGTTCTGGAAACATTAGCCACAGCAATTAGACAAGAGAAAGAAATTAAAGCAATAAAGATAGGAAAGGAAGAAGTTAAACTATCATTATTTGCTGATGATATGATA